TACTGGGAACATTCGCTGACTGAAACCTGGGAAGTCGGCTCTTCCCAGCACGGCCCAGGCTCGGACGATCCGTTTCGTATTAGTAATTCGAAAGCGAGCTGTCCCATGCCATTTTCCGGACCGAGAATCGAGTCAGGTTTGTACTCGCTCATACTGCTGCCGATCATTAATAGTTTCTCTAGCACCCTCATCATCCGTGAGAATACCCCGTTAATGAAGGCGAAGCCTGACTGCTTTCGCCGGGACGCTGACCGATTTCGGGCCGACAGCCGGTACGGTCATCGTTCCGAGCACGCTCCACATGCGCCCCCCACGGAGCCCCATAGAGAGCACTTCGTCATTTCGATTCCCTTCTGGAATCCCTGGTAGGGACACCGGAGGATCGAGATCTGGGCCTCATTGTGGAAGCTTATCCCTCGGATCGGTGGCGGCCCGATTCCTTCGAGGTTCGCAATCTTCAAAAACCTCCCGCGGGTCGAAGGAAGGACGATCAACTCAGTCCAGCTCAGAGAGCGCAGGGCGCGCCGAATAAGATGTCATTCATCACCTAATTGATCGTGTTCTGCCCAAATATCGGAAATATATCAAAACTCTCGGGCTCCCCGATCCAAAGAGTCTATCGAATTTCACACGTACCACCGAAGCGGCAATGTATGAGCTCCTCGGGTAGGGTGCGGAGGGGGGGACTGATCCGCATCCCACATTTCTTGGAATTGAACCCTTCGTGTACACCTCGTTTCTGGAGCGTTGGGCTAGAGCGTACTGGGCTCCATTCGGGGGGTAAGCCTTCTGTAGATGGATCAACACCTCCACAGTGCGCATGCGCTCATGGAATCGGGGCCGCGACCTGCTAATTTCGCCAGCAGCCGGGATTGAATCTGGCGCATGAATAGCCGAGGGGACCAACTTTGGCGAATCCGTCCAAGACGAAAATTTTCGTCTCCTCCATCACAGCAGCGAATTCCCAGAGGCCTTGACTTTCGGTGATTTTATTAATAACAGCCGCCAGTGACACACATATTGTTCTAGCCAGAAGAGGGGCTCAACTAAGAGATCAGGTGTCGTCTTTAAGTGGGTGACCTGCTGTGAGCGCCACGCCGCGTTGTTTCTCGGGGTAACAAGATCAAACGACGTTACGATTTGACGCTGAGTTGACTCACGGGATGGAGACAAGATTCGAATACTTGGCCCGACGGCACGTAGTCGGTCTCCGAACGGCACGACAACGCGGCGATAAGTCCGCAAGCTACATTAACAGTTTTATGTGGCTCAAGAGTAAATCGTCTCTCGTCGAGACGGTGCATAATCCGGCTCGAATCATTAGCGGACCATCGAGTAGTCCATGATACGGAATCCTCACGAGTCCGATCGCTTGCTGGTGACTTCTTTTTCCTAATTGCTCTCGTCATTGTGATTCAAGAGGGTCGTCGCCAGCTTCCCGAGTACGGCTTTCGGCGAGCTACAATCGTTTGACGCTCGGGCTCGAATCTTGTGTCTGTTTGTATGTATGTATACATGCGTTTATGCTGGATAGCCAGTGACTAAGCAAGCGCTCTGGGATTTGCTTAGGAGGTGTCTGCAGACCCAGTCAGTCGATCGTAAGTGCTCACATTTACACCTACATTCAGGGTTTCACAAACGCCTTAAGATGGCGAGACGTCGCGCTCTTTCGGCCGTGAAAAAGTTCAACTCAACACCTTCTTTGTCGCGAAAAACCGACTCAGTCAAGTGAGCCTTCTCCCATAGTATCTCGTCTGGCTGGCTGCTAGCTTGTGTTGTGGCCACTGGAATAACATCACGAAAGAGTGAGCTTCAACGCTAATCCCATGCAAGATGCGCTTCACTGACGGACGAGTCGTCGGCAGACGAAGATCGAGCCATCGAGATTTGATGCATTGAACAAGAAAGGCGAAAGCCGAAAGCTTGTCGCACGAAGCATATCATGCATGTTCGACGATTTTGTCGGTGCACGAAGTTCACAGGTCTGCTCGAGATTTGCTTCGATAAGGGCGGATACTTTTTCCTTAGCAGCTCGCTGCAAAACTTCGTGCTCCCTCCATGGCTCCTGACTCTGACTCCTCGAGTTTCCTTATTCCCTACCCCGGAGTTCGTCTCTGCGTCTAAGCAGGCCTATTCTCCCTCAACGCGGACATATATCCTCCCTGATTTCCGATCCACGAAAGTGGCCTATACGCACATTCTTTCGATCACTTATAGACAGGACAGGCAACTGATCTTTGCGAGGTATGAGATCTCCGAAGATCAGAGACTCCTCAGGATCTGCAGCAGGAGCTCTCGGCCGCAAGCGATGGCGGCGCCTGTGGGACGCTGAACATATGTATGTTCATCCCCTATCTATTCAGAGTGTATATTTCTTTTGTATGGATGGATTTCATTCATTGTAACTGTAAGAATTTACGTCATACTCATGGGTATTCCACGAAGGGGTTCCAATGTTCCAAGAGCGCCCTTCCCCCCGCCGTTCTCGAGTTCGCCCTTCTGCGTCCCAAGATAAAGTGTGGCGCGGTAACTGACCGCGAGCCGGAGAGCGTTAATTTTTACGAAGTATCGTTCGGTCCATGACGACCCTCGTCGGACGGTGTATCGCTGAATTAACAACTTACGCCATTCTCCTTTTCGCGGTGGCCTCGGATGAGAATTCTTGTTCCGAGCCAGCGCATGGTCCGACTACCGCGATGAGTCTCGTCGGCTCAATGAGGAGCTATTATGGGCTGCGAGATTGTGCCGGTGGATTTACAAATAATTGCATCGGGAATTCGCATAAATTCGTTCGGTACCAAGAGAGCAAGCGCTGCTGTCCTCCGGAGTAGGTAAACACGATACCCGAACCGTTACCCTTCGAAGCCGAGCGGGAGTATCGCACCTCATTTTGCATCTGCATGGAACCCCTCACTTATGGAGCTGTTAACAAACTATGCGAAGTCAGCAAGCGGTCTGCCCGCCACGAAAAGAAATCACGTGCGAAAAGAAGCTCATCATGAGATCTCGCATGGGTCGGACAGCCGCATGGATGAGTAGGTTGGCAGACTCAATCGACGACTCTCCTTGTTCCTCTGTCGCTCGTTTGGTCGGTCGCTGACTCGCTGATCTTTTTCTCTCATGGCTCGTATACCTGACGAAGGGTCGACGACGAGGGAGACCCGGACCAGGGAAAAATGTCACTGAGTTAACACATCGAATCGGGACTAGCAGCTGAGTTTACACCCATTACACATCTGATCAGGGACCACCCGATGTTTCTCTACGCGTTCATCGCTTGGGTATTCTGATTCGCTGCCCGATACACACACATACACAGCGAGCTCCCTGTTGGTAGACAGATGGGCCGTGTTGAGGCCAATATGGGGTCCGCCTCAGTGAGCTCAGACGTTGCTGCTTGCACATTACCCGCACTGGCTTGCCGATAGTGCGAGCGAGTGAGCGACCGAGTAAGAGAGCGAAATCATTGTCGGAGAACGCAGGAACATGCAGTAGTACATACCTCTTACACGAGGGTCGCTGGTCCTTGTTGCTCTCCCGCGGGTTCGTTCCAACGAGGGAGCTCGAACCGAGCAGGCCAAATGTACAATCGTGAAATTTAAGTTGGGACAACAACATACCTCCGCAGGAAATGACTAACGACTTGAACTTCTTTCCGAAGAGGGGACCAGAGCGAGCGTTTGAGCATGGAATTCGAAGAGCCATCATCGGATATCACGGCTCCCGGGGCTAATTTGGGCTCATGGCGAGTGCCGAATCCGATCATAGCAAGCGGTAGCATCCGATTTGTTTTAGGAACCGGATCGGCTTCACAACTTGCTCGCTTACCGAATGAGGATTTGCATTCCTGAGGGTGCATACGTGTGCTTTTCAGCACATGGGTCATGGGTCCGACTCGGATTGATCCGTGATGTAATTGGGTTCTTGCGACTGACACCCACCTGGCGAAGAGCTTGATACCTAATTGCTTAATCGGGGTTATCGACACGCGTGCCAAATGAAAACCTCGAAAAACAACATACGATGACCCGCATTGATCGGGCTGAATCGGTGAACATCAGTGATTAGCAACCCTATAAAGCACCCGGCGCCACCCGAGTGATATTTCAGTGATCAATCAACCATCATTCATTATATTTCACTTGTGCACTGGAATCTCCTAACGACGATGAACATCCGGGTTCCGGGTCTAATTGGGCTAATAAGACTGAAAATAAAGTATTGGTGGCTTATACCGAACACCGAAGATCTAAGCTCTGGTGCGAGATCTCCCCCAGCTTCGCTCGAGGAATCTCATGACACACATACTTCTAGCTCAACCATGTCCGGAAATCGGTCGCAGTTCGTCGTGAGTCGTGAATTACAGATGGAGTTCTGCGAAAATAAAAACTAATTGAATAGACTTGTGGGGATGTCGAACATGGGTTCTGAATCGAATCGAGACACGAATTTTCATTCATTATTTTTACGGATCACCGGGGAACCCATGAGGGTCTAATCTTGTTTGCAAGGTTACACGTTCAAGAGATTCCGAATGAGAGGAAGTGCCTGAGAGTACCTATTCGGTAGACGCCGAGACCGGGAACCGTTTTGCGTTTCGAGCCTTTGGAGGTCGTCAGCGCCACACGCACTAATGGTTTGTACGCGCAGCTCCTGCGGCGTACGACTGCATTGTCTCGATGCGGTTAGCTTGGGCCGAAATAACGTTGAAAAAAGGTGAATTATGCGAATAGTGGCGCCATTTTGTCACGAGCTCAACCGTGTCTTCGCACTGGGCGGACCGAGTAGCGGCGAATGGCGGCGAATAGCAGCCGTCGCCAGCCTCTCTCAACCATTGGACGAGTGCTCTCTGGGGCGGAGCCTCGCCAAGCCACATATACAGCCCCGACTCTAGAACACAAACACTCAGTTTGTTTATACAACCCGAACAGGAGTGTCGTGCAGCAACACACAGAAGAAACGAAACAGAGGTTCACAGCTTTGTGGAGACTTGTCTCAAAATGATGTCTTTCGACCAAACTGTGGAAGTGCGCAAACCGAAGAAACTCACATCGTTCAGCATTTCATCGTTGATCGACACGGATTCCGACGATGAAGAAGTGGCCGAACTCAAAGTTGAGAGCTCAGATCCCGTGTCAGAGGATCTGGACGACGACGCATCGGTGATAACTTCCCTGGCAAGTCCCACGCATTCCTCGATGAGGGCGAGTGGCACGCCAACGACGACGGGAGGTAACGGGAAGGACGTGCAGTCCGAACCGGGACTTCCGGAACCGGAGCTGAAAACGCTCCCCGACACCTGGAAAAAGTCGAAAGAGAAGCCTCCGTTCAGCTACAACGCTCTGATCATGATGGCGATTCGGCAATCGAGTGAGAAACGGCTCACTTTGAACGGAATTTACGAGTACATCATGAAGAACTTTCCCTACTACCGTGAGAACAAGCAAGGATGGCAAAACTCGATCAGACACAACCTTTCTTTGAATAAGTGCTTTATCAAAGTTCCTCGGCACTACGACGACCCTGGCAAAGGTAAATATCTCGGGATTTAGGATGTCTGCTTCGAATGATAGGTAGGACGACTCTCCTTCCGTGAGCGAAGTGTTTCCGGGGCGCTTCGCTGCCCGATCGATTAGTTATCAGCTGGCGGTGCAGGAGTTGCTTGCTGAATTCACTCCACCAATTTTGGATGCTCAGACGCCCGGGGCTATGAAGATCCGATGCTCCGTATCGACTCCGTTGCGCGTCTCGGGAAAGCCCTGACTTGCGTCGGTCTTTTCCGATCCGATCGCTGAAGAAGTTCAAGAAAGACCAATTTGTGACAAGCTGAGCGATTTTCAACGCTGTTTTCGTCTTGAGTCGTCTCAGTCCTTGAGTAAGATCTAATTGGGTCTGAATTCCATGCATGGATAGAATGCCCGACGCCCGACCAATTCCGATTGGAAAATTTGTCAGAGATTATATTCGAGACGCGCTCGTTTCACGATTCGCACTCCTTGTTTCGGGATCCTTCGAGAGTCTCGTGAGGAGCAGGGAGCAGTCCATGAGTATGGAACAGCTAGCAAACTCTGCTTCCGCTGGCTTGGGCTTAAGAAGTTCTAGGGAAATCGCGTTGAGCTTCATGTAGCTATATCTTACATTTTTCAACTCTCTCAAGGTAACTATTGGATGCTGGACCCAAGTGCTGATGACGTTTTCATCGGGGGCACAACTGGAAAGCTACGTAGAAGAACAGCCCCCGCGACTAGGAATCGCCTCGCTCTCCTGCGGAGGAATCCCGCCGCGTTGCAGGCAGCAGCGTTCGCGGCAACTTCTCATCTGATGGGCGCAAATCCCTATTATCCCGGTCAACCTTGGCACAACGCAGCCGCTGCCCTGGCAGCAGCGTATCAGAGTGCCGTAGTCTCAAAACTGAATCATCCGCAACAACTGCCAAAGAGTCTCCTGCCGCCTCAGCTGCCGCTTTCACAGTCGATGGCAGGTCCGCAAATGGATAGAATATCGCCGTTTGCGTTGTATCCATCGCATCTTTATCTCCAACAGCAACGATCGTTGCTCCAACGGATGCAAAGTCACGAAGACCTCAACCATGGAAGATGAGGGCTTTTTTCATTGTTCCTGCCCCTGCCGCAATAGTTTCTTGATCTCATGTGATGATGCAATACAGTGTAAATATCCAGTGGAGTACCGTCGACGATCACGTTAGCTCCTCGACGAGGAGAAAGTGAGGATTGTTGTACATAGAAGCTGTAAATAGAAGTCATTAGGAGCTGGAGAGTTTGTAAATATAATAAATCAACTGACCGGCTCGCGGAGAGCCAGTTGTCAAGTTGAACAGGATCTCGCTATCAATTGTGAGGAAACCGATGCATACGGGCAACTGATAAGTATTCGCAGGAACTGAAATCCTCGCGACTTGCGTCTGACAGGACGCGTGGACCGTGGTTCACAAAGTGCTCCAGGTGAAAGGTTCAACCCTAGACCTCGACGATTCAGGTTCTAGACGAGGTTTACACAAGCCGGAATTCCTAGGGGAAGGACGAAGCGTTCCATGGGAGAATCCCGACTCCGTCAAAGTCTTTCCCTTGGTCTCTCACGTTCCGCGTACCACCCGGTGGAATATGCAAATGATCACGCTCCTCGTTCCTTGATCTGAATGTAATCCGAATGTTCCTCGGAACAATCTTTCCGAGATAGATCGTATCAGCTGGGATTGGCAGACTCATCTTTTCCGAAGAGCAAAACTTCTTCCAAGAGAGACTACCGCTCATTCATATCGAGCGAGAAATCGATCTCCAAAGTAAATGGGAGTTCCCGGGACGATTCCAGTCTGGGTGTCAGAATCGCCGCCAGAATCCCTACGGAGCTCCTCCGAACCAGAGAACTTAGGGGGGATTCCTCAAGCGGACCCCGGGGCGTCATCTGAGGATGCGCGATGCCATGGGAGGACATCGATGTAGAGATGCATTGCTTCGATTTTCCTCGGTCGGATCTCCGCGTGACTTCAAATACGACTGTACCCGGCGTGTACACATCCGGCGGATCGAGGTGGGTACGGTCGGGAGTGGGCCACCGCGAGTATTGATCTAGTTCCCGGAATTTTTTTTCCGAAGAATCTCCAGCTTTCCCGCGGAGCCGGGATAAGTTCGATATTTTCGGATGGAATAGGATGTAAAGGTCCGTAGAGCCAATAGATATAATCAGTTTGTGGGTATCAAAATATTTGGCCTTGTCGAACAGCAGATGTCGCAGTCGGGAACGGTGGGGAGAGCGATGTCTGTGACGTTCGCTGATGCCAGTCTACTGACGTTCTGTTTGCCATTGTTCAAGTTTAAGTACTGAGTGGCAGGCTGCTCTTCTGACTAGCAGGCAACCCGCTTGCTTGGCTTCCCAGCTAATCCAACCAAATACAAAAGTAGATTTTTGTCACCTAGACAGTTTCCAAGTTGTCGGCCAACTGTCGGAAATTTGATACAACTCCTGGTCTCATCCACAAACGAGTCGGCTGCCTCGCTGCTCGGTCGCAACATGGCATTGCTCCACGAAGAGTACACCAGCATGGCTAGCAGCGGCGGTAGCTTGAGGTTCACCTCAGACTTCTCTCGGCACAACAACAGTTTCAGGTTTCATTGCTCTAATCGCCATCTGAGTGGAGGCCGTTCCATGTTCTCAATGCTCGTTGGACGCCTTCGTCATGTTTCGACTCATCATCTGACGACCATTGGTCTCATCGAATGGCACCCCGTGGCTGATGCACATTTCCGATCGTCAACTACCTAATTGAGGAAAATAGTCACACCTAGTCCGTGGTTCCTCGCGCTCCAAATTCGCCTGGGGCGTCGTATCTTCGGGCAGCGCCCAGTCGAACTCCAAGAGCGAGAGCTGCCCGGAACTCCTCCCTCGTTGGTGTAGGAATCGCCACGCAGAGCTTTCCAGGCACAGTCGATAGGTAGCCCCGTGGCTCGGGGCCGAGAGTGGGAAAAGCCCTGAGCTGGGGGAAAGGCTGCGGTCCGCATCCTGTCCGTTCGATTCCCCCGAGCTGGGGAACGACCCGAGTATTGTATGAGTTTCCTCCGCCCAATTAGGATGATCAGCCGGAGGAGCCATATTGCGAAGCGTCATGGAGGAAATCTATACTCCATTCCAGGAATCGAATACGTGTTCTTAGAAAGGCAGTCTGATTCCGGGGAGCCGCGGGGGCTCATCGGAGCATGCTACGAATTCTTGAGGAGAAGAGATTCTAGCGCGCGTCAGCTATGGGTTGCTGGTATATAAACGGATCGATGAAGCCTCTGGGTCTTTCATCCAAGTCCCAGTGCTTCCTCCCTCCAAGCTCGTCAATTCGGCATGCCGCAAGTGTGAGTTGTTTCTTTTCGGCGCGGTCCTCTCGAGCTCTCCGAAGAATCTCCGAGAATATCCTCCAATCAAATCCCGAAATCATCTCCCTCTGTTCTCACGAGAGGGCTCTAACGACATCCATCAACAGTGCTCGCTTACTCTGCCTCTTATTATCGATGATAGCCAATGCTCAGCAAGACCGCTAGACCATCGGGTTGCTTTGTTTCTTTCCTTTGCCTAAATTGTATGTTATGATACGTAACATTGAGTGGTTTGAGAGAGCTATAATTCGAATCAATTTGTAGACTGTTCGAACACTAAAGGAAGCTGCCCGCTGGTCGTTTGTCGCTTGTCCACAAGGAGAGGGGGGAAAGCGGCTCAGTCGATGCACGCTTCGAGTGACTGAGTGCCTTTCTGAGCTCTCCAACAGCTTGACAATCCGTGTTGTTATGCGATGACGTTCCGTGTCGGTCGGTTCGTCCGCTCGTTCGCTGTCGAGGCGGTAGTGGCGATGCTTGTCGCCAATGCCGAGTTGATCCTCTTTTAAATTAACTCTAATGAGGATGTGGAGCACCGGTTCTCTTGTTGCTCGCTCGCAATCATCCTCTCTGTCCAGCGAGGACGGCGAGCATTCGGACCGGAGATCGAGTTCGTTCGGGAGCTCGTCGATCGGGGAATCGCTGCCGATCGCGCTTTGGTTGGAGTTCGTGGACGGTTATCTATTCTCGAGAGCGAATTCGCTCTCCAATCAAAATAATCACGGCTACAAGCTGCTTTGTTACAGGAGCAGCAGCAGCAGCAAGTGTCGTCTAATTCGTTCCGCATCAAACAGTTTTGTCGACAGTGAGACAGAAAGAGAGGCGAGCAGCTTCGTCGAATTGTCCAATGACACCAGCGATGATCACCACTACAACAACCAATGCCGCCGCCGGCGCCGCCGACAGCACCCGGTAGAGCCAAGAAGCGATGTCAAGCAGTTCGTCCGTCCACTCGTCAGACGCTAAATTAAAAGGGACATTGATTTGCTACTCGGCGAATTCGTGTTTAGCACTTTAGCAATAAAAGAATGAGGGCCAACAAGCGAATGCCAATCTGGTCCCCGACGTCGACGACGACAACGATGAGCGGGCTCGGAGAGCAGCTCTTTCGAGAGTATAGTCATAAAAGAATAAACGAGGAAAGCAACCACGAGATACTTCTTGTAATAGTGTGCGTGGGAGGCGAGATGCCGCTGATCGTGGCAGAGGCGCTGGGCGCTCTGAATGCTCTGAATCAGCGCAGCAACTATGTTCACGCGGACATTTTCTTTTTTCTCTCCCCGCCGAAGCTTAATCATTAATTTCAATTTTGAAATGCAGCACAATAGCGATAGCGTCGAGTCAGCGACATCCGAAAGAAAAATGCTCGGAAAAATCTCAAAAATCGTTTCGAAATCGATCTCACCAAGCGGATCGGAGAGGAATCCTCCGATTCTTCCACGACGTGACTCGTCACGCTTTCGGCAAACTCACCCCGGGGCTCTGGATCGACCGGTCCTTAAAGCAGACGAAGATCGCTAATGTGCGAGAATTCGAGTGTGTTGGCTCAAAATTGATCACAGTGTTTGCTCTTTGACTGGAAACTGAATCAATCGTGAAATCGACCGGATAAACTCCGCTCTCGGGAACGACGAATCAAACGAAAGAATAGGAAACACTCTAATGCTGGACTTCTGCCCCAGCTACGCTGCTATGGCTGCTGGTGCCGTCGGTGGTGGTGGTGGTGGTAGAAGTAGCGATTTAATGAAAACATTTCGAGGAGCTCGAGGGATTTTTGAAGTTTCAGAGCCTGTTCGAGGTGCGGGGGCTACGGGATGGTGCAGGTAGCAATTTTGACGAGGTCGTCAATCTTCGTAGTGGTGCTGGCGGATCACTAGGTAGGAATTTACGGAACCATCTCTCGTACGCTGCTGTTCCATCCACGGTCTCCGCTCAGCCAGCCGGCCAGCCAGCCAGTCTACGAGCGGCTTGAGCTCAGACCCGAGTCAGTAGCCTTCGAGACTGTAGGCGGATAACATCGACGGGACAGAGAGTCTTTCAAGCGATGAGACGAATTCAAGAGAGATGATGATGAAAACGACGAAGACGACATTCGTGTCTCGAACGCAAACGTGCAATTTGCAACAGCGACGGAAACGCATCCCTTCAACGACGGCGCTCCAAGCCTCGCTCGTCGCTCCATTCCTTCGCAACCCTTTGTATGTGTGTATATGTATCCGAAGCGACCTCATGCACACATAGGGAGAATTCAGACGGTCAGATCTCCCCCGAACTCCCTGGCGTCTATTTTTGAAATTCGAATCATTGTTCTCTGAATTCTTCTTAAAAATTCCGCCTAAAAAGGTTTCCCACGTCGAACTGAGGTTTATCAAACTGAGGCTGCACTTGTAGTTGTTGCAATTGCTAATCTCATCGAGCCACTTACTCAACCTAACTCTGTCGGGCTGAACCACACAGCCAAGGGTTGACGTCCCGGGTACGTTTGTTCACATTGCTTCCGGATACGGATCCATACAGCAAATGTTCCCGGGAGGATCGAGGCCGAGTACCTGCGCTTCCGGAAGGAATATTTTTCCGGCAGCAGGGATCGAACCCACACCGCCTCCCGCGCGAGCGGCGTCGTTGCGGCATTTCACGAAGTGAAACGCACGTTTGCACGAGTAGTGACAAACGCGCTAACCACTCGACCACCCGTCGGTCACTTACTCAACCAGTCAGCGGAGAAGCGACCAGCCGAACGAGTGACTGCCCAACTGGCTGGCTGACTGAGACGGGAACACGGACTTACGGACAGAGTGACTGACAATAAGCTCCATGACAGCGGTGGTGATCTCAATCAAGTGAAAGTAAGCTTCGAGTGTGAGAATCCGCCTTTCGGCATGTCGTCTTTGGAG